ACTAATGTCTATGAGCCAAATGGTTATAGAGAAAGGAAGGAAATGTGGGAGTTGTATGGAAATATGAATCAAATAATCCCCAGAGATCGATTACTACAAGCATGAAGATTCTCAATGAATTAATTAGCACCTATGGTCTAAAGGAATTACCCCTTCTACAAGCTAATTTTACATGGTCCAATTTCCAAGAAAACCCCCTTTGCTCCAAACTTGATAAATTCCTTTTTAATGTAGAGTGGGAGGACCATTGGAGGAATTTGGTGGCTAGAACCCTTCCTAGAGTTACATCTGATCACTGCCCTATCCTATTAGGTCAAGAAACTCTAGGCTTTGGACCACGACCCTTCAGATTTGAGAACATGTGGCTGACTCATCCAGACTTTGAACGAAAGTTTGGTGAGTGGTGGAATGAAGAATTGAGAGGGGTAAAGTGGAAAGGTGTAAGGTTCCACAAAAAGTTGAAGAGATTGAGAGCTAGGATCAAAGAGTGGAATCGGGAGCATTTTGGAAGGGTAGAGGATCAAAAGAATATTTTGATGTCTAGGATTGATGAGCTAGACTCCAAAGAATCATGAATGAGCAAGAAAGGATTTTGAGAAGTAGCTTAAAAAAGGAAATGGAAGAAGTTCTCCTTAGAGGAGAGATTTCCTGGAGGCAAAAGTCAAGACACAAATGGATCAAAGAAGGGGACGGCAATACAAAATTTTTCCATGCGTTTGCTAATGGGAAGAGAAGAAAAAACTGTGGTCAAAATAGAAGTGGATGGGGAGGAAGTCACAAATCAAGATGAGATAGCCAAAGTGTTGGTGGATCACTTTAAATCAATTGCAAGGAAGCCATTGAATAATAGACTAAGGCTGGAAGGTCTAGATTGGGCCGGGTTGTCTGAAGAGCAAGCAATCTGGTTAGAGAGAAGTTTTGAAGAAAAGGAAATTAGGCATAAAGTGTTTTCAATGGACATATCCAAAGCCCCTGGGCCAAATGGCTTCACCATGGCTTTTTACCAAGACTGTTGCAATGTGGTAAGAGAAAACCTTTGTGTTGTGTTTAAGGATTTTGAGGATAATAACAAAGTAAGATCTGGAGTTAATGCTACTTTCATAGTCTTAATCCCTAAGAAGAAAGAAGCATAAAATCCAAAAGATTTTAGGCCGATCAGTTTGGTGACTAGCATTTACAAAATCCTGGCTAAAGTGTTTTCTTTGAGGATTAAAGTAGTGCTACCCTCCATCATTAGTCAAGCCCAGGGAGCATTCGTGCAAGGGAGACAAATAACAGATCAGATTCTAATAGCTAATGGATGTGTAGAGGATATAAGAAAGTCCGGAAAGCAAGATTTTGTTTGTAAGTTGGATTTAGAAAAGGCCTCTAATCTTGTGGATTGGAGTTTCTTATTAGAGGTCCTAGGGTGTTGTGGGTTTGGAGTTAGATGGTGTAACTGGATAAAGGGCTGTATAAGTTCATGCCATTTTTCGGTCTTGGTTAATGGGGTAATCAAGGATTCCTTCCAAGCTTTTAAAGGGTTAAGGCAAGGTGACCCCCCTTCCTCTTTACCCTAGTTGCAGATGTTTTCAGTAGTTTGATGTCTAAGGTAGACTTGGAAGGAGTAGTGAGAGGTTGGAGGATAGGAAGGAACGGGATTAGGGTGACCCACTTACAGTTTGCTAATGACCTAATAATCTTTTGTGAAGGGGATAATAGGAGAACAGTGAGTAATCTCAAATCTTTGATAAAGCGCTTTGAGAGAGTATCAAATCTTAAAATAAACATGGAAAAGAGTTGTGTGGTGGGTGTGAATATGGATAAGAGGACTAATGAGTCCGTGGTTGAGTGTTTAGGTTGTCACATTTCCTCTTGGCCCTTACAGTATTTAGGTCTACCTCTAGGAGCCAACCCTAAAGAGAGCACCTTTTGGGCCCTGGTTCTGGAAAAGTTTGAGAAGAGGTCAGCTTCGTGGAAAACGAACTATACTTCTTCAGGGGGTAGAGTAACATTACTGAAAGCTTCCTTAGCAAATCTGTCGATTTATTACTTCTTTGTGTTTAGGATTCCTGTTAGGGAGGCCAAGAAATTAATGAGAAATTTTCTTTGGGAGCCAGAGGAGGAAAAAAATGATCACTTAATAAATTGGGGAATAGTGTGTCGGAGGAAAGAGGAGGGTGGGTTGGGACTAGGGAATTTAGTTTTGAAGAATAAAGCGCTCCTAGGAAAATAGTTGTGGAGATGACCCTTAGAACAAGAGAGACTATGGCATGAGGTGATTGATAGTATACATGGCAGTTCGGGAAATGGATGGGATGCTAGTGTATCGTGTCAAGCCACATAGGCAACTCCTTGGAAAGCAATTCAGAGTATTCTCCCTCTTTTCCTCAACTACATCAGGTATGATGCCAATTCTGGTAATTCTGTTTTGCTCTGGGAAGACATTTGGGTGGGCAATTCTGCCCTTAAGGGCACTTTCCCTACTCTCTATTCCCTTTCTCGCTGCAAGGGTAAAGCAATCCCTCACTTTCTTCCAACATCTATTTCTCCATCCTCTCTAAATTGGGACTTTGGGTTTCGTAGGGGCTTGAGGGATCATGAACTCTCTTGTGTTTCAAACCTTTTGTCACTTCTTGAAAATGCTTTTCTAGACCCTTTAAGATCTGATGTGAGACTTTGGTCCCCTAATCCAAAACGATACTTCACATGTGCCTCTTTCTTTGAGTCTCTTTGCTCTCCCTCGGAATGGGTTTCCCAGCTAAGGAGATTTTGTATAAACCTGTACCTCCTAAAATTATCATTTTCTGCTGGGAGGTGTTCTATAGGAAAATCAACACTTCAAACTTATTGCAGAAGAGAAGGCCTTCTATGCATGTGTCTCCTAATTGGTGTGTACTTTGCAGGGCTAATGGCAAGGATTGCTCACTTAGTCTTAACCTGTTCTTTTTCTGATGCTATCTAGGGTTGGATCTTTGCTTTGTTTGGTTGCAGATGGAATTTGATCACAGCTGTAGATCAGATCTTTGACCCTTCCTTCTTTGTGTGGCCCACAAAAATTGGTAAAATTATGTGGAGGTGCATTAGAGATGTTGCTTTGTGGACAATATGGGAAGAAAGAAATGCGAGGATTTTCCAAGAGAATGAGAGAAATATTCAGAACGTAAAGGATTGCATTTTGACAAGGGCAATCCATTGGCTGAGATCATTGGATTTCTTTAAAATATATTCCTTTGATGACATTTGGAGGAATTGGATTGCTGTGGCTAATAGCAGTTACAGGAAGAACAGGGTACCAGCTGTGTGGGTGCCTCCTTCAAAAGGCTGGACAAAGCTGAATTTTTATGGTAGCAGCCAAGGAAATCCGGGTCCGTCAGGGATAGGTGGGGTGCTGAGAGATAAAGACAGTAATATATTAGCTTTATTCTCAAGCTCCGTGGGTATTGGAGATTCTACTAGAGTTGAGCTTCTAGCAGCAGTACAAGGTATTCAGATTGTAGACCAGTTGTGGGTTGCTTATTGAAGGAGACTCCAAAGTCGTTGTGGGTTGGTTAAAAAATCCAGCTTCAGTTATTTGGTGCTACAGGGATATTATGAGGAAAGCCAATTGGTTTTCAAGGAACATGAATGTTAATTATCAATGGGCAGGTAGAACAGCTAATACCACAGCGGATGGGTTAGTTAAGCAAGGGGTATCAAGGGAACATTTATTCTGGGCAGCTATGTAAACTTTCATTTCTTAGTCTGGTGTAGTACTTTCTTATTGTTGTGGAGAGGTACCAGCTCGTGCCTCTCCTTTGGGCAGGTTGTATTGTAATTTCATTTTGATTATCATTGTTAGAGTACACAAAACAGGGGTATTTTGGTCATTTGGGTTTATCTATTTGAGAGTAAAAGGTCTGTTTTATTTAAGTTTAAGTTATGTGTTCCATCACTTATGAGGGACAATATGATCTTTCTTGTAACTATGTTATTGGAGATAAATACAAGTGGGTCGACTAGAGATAGGACTGATTTTCCTCTACTGGCCAAACCCTTCTTCTTCTTCTTCTTCTCCTTCTTCTCTATTGTAACCTAGGACTAAATAAGGTTTTCACATGGTATCAGAGTGCATGTAACAAGTTCAGATCTGCTCGTCTTGCTCTTTTATTCTGGTTTACCCAGTTTTTTTATCGCCCTCCTCTCTAGGGTTTTGCAAATTTCTCAAGAACCACTGGGAGATTAAGGGAAAGG